CCACTGTGTTTTATCAATGGCAGGTTCGATGCAGCTAGCTTTCAGATTTTGGAGCACTTCATGCTTCATCTGCTGAAAAGCTTTATGGAGATGAAGATTTAATTTTTCAGCACGACCTGGCACCTGCTCACAGTGCCAAAACCACTGGTGAATGGTTTACTGACCATGTTGTTACTGTACTCAATTGGCCTGCCAACTCTCCTGACCTGAACCCCAGAGAGAATCTGTGGGATATTGTGAAGAGAAAGTTGAGAGACACAAGACCCAACACTCTGGATGAGCTTAAGGCCGCTATCGAAGCATCCTGGGCCTCCATAACACCTCAGCAGAGCCACAGGCTGATTGCCTCCATGCCACGCCGCATTGAAGCAGACATTTCTGAAAAATGATTCCCGACCAAGTATTGAGTGCATAACTGAACATAATTATTTGAAGGTTGACTTTTTTGTATTAAAAACACTTTTCTTTTATTGGTCGGATGAAATATGCTAATTTTTTGAGATAGGGATTTTTGATTTTTCTTTACTTTTTTGCCAAAATCATCAATTTAAAACAATAAAAGACTTGAACTACTTCAGTTGGTGTGCAATGAATCTAAAATATATGAAAGTTTAATTTTTATCAGTGCATTACAGAAAATAATAAAATTATCACAATATGCTAATTTTTTGAGAAGGACCTGTATACACCAACTCTTAATGGAACATTGACAGTTTTTTTTCTGTTACTGAATATCATATAGTTTGTTTTATCTAAATTTAATGATAATTTATAAAGTGTAAACCAATTTAGTATTTTCACAAATTTCAAAACACACAAAACAAGTCTAACAGCTGAAATGACAACTCATAAAGCAAAACACAATAAACCTCTAAACATCACAGTTTAAATGGGCTTATTTTATGAATGAGGTTGATTTGCTTTTTAGCCAGAGTTTTAGTACTTTTTTTACTGAATAATTATCACTGTCTCAGAAATATCCTGGTAGTTTATTCCAAAAATGTTTTCCTCTTATTGATGTCACCTTTTCTTAAGTTTTGTTGAACGTAACAACAGATGGTAACAGAAACATTACTAATATGCATTATTCATTCGATCAAAGGAGTGGGCAGAAGTATATATTTTTATTAGTCCACCCATTCTCCTGCAACCTTACTCACATCACCTCTTATTCACCAAGAAAACTATCCTTGGTTTCTAACAAAATAAGGAATCCAACAACTTTAATAGAAGGAAGTATACATAAATACAGTATCTCACCTGTAACAGTATCTTTTCATGGGACAACAATGAAGATATGATACTTTCATACAATGTATAGTAGTCAATGCACCGCTTATATAATAATATAAATTTGCTGTCCCATCAAAATAACTTAATACACAGCCATTAGTGTCGAAACCACTGGCAACAAAAGGGAATACATCCCTGAGTGAAAATGCCCAAATTGTACCCAGTTGGCTATTTTTTCTTCCTGGTGTCGTGACTTGTTAGTGTCACAAGATCTCGGGTGTGAATGTTATTGCTCTCTCACTCTCCCATACTGGTCACTGGAAATTCAAAATGGCACCTCATGGCAAATAATTCTCTCATAATGTGAAAAAAAAGTATTGTTAATCTACACAAAGGTAACCTAGGCTATAAGGAGATTGGCAACACCTTGAAACTGATCTGCAGCGTGGTGGCCAAGACCATACAGCTGTTTAACAGGACAGGTTCTACTCTGAACAGGCTACACTCTGGTCGACAGAAGAAGTTGAATGTACACATTCAGTGTAGGCCTGTCATGATAGCAAGTTTTGCTGGACAATAAATGATAATGTTGTTTGGAGGCATTTTACATTAATATAATGATACTTTTTCCCATTAACAAAGCTTACAGAAGTTTATGAAATGAGTTACAACAACACCAAATTTTCCTCTGGGATCAATAAAGTATTTTTGAATTGAATTGAATTGATAGTTTTTCCATTTGTCTAAACATGAGGTAGGCTTTCTTATATGTTCTCAATGTGGATTAACAGAATTCATGACCTTTTATAGTAATCTTTAATTGTTTGATTGTTTATAGGATGGATCAAGATTCTACATCATTAAATTCAAGCAGACTGAACAATCAGAAGATGAAATTCTCAAAATCAGAGGTAAGAACATCATTACAATTGTTACTTTTCCATGTATGTTTATGTTTTTTAAGTGTATTAATTGTTTTGACTGTACATTGTTCACACAATACCTTTTTAAAAACTGAAATGTCCACCTGGGTAATACCCAATATATTCAGCTTGATGTTCCGTTTTATTTTAAAAGAGAATAATTTCACATCACTTGTTTGTGACAGTAATGTTATGGCTTATCTGTTTA